CAGATCATCTTCAAATTGTAGCAAAGCCATCACAGTATCACGTGCCTTCTTTCAACTGATTATAATTAAACTTTACTCAAGAATTTTCTAACCCAGCTTTGGTGAGATCTTATGCCGCGGCCAAGTTATCCCTTCTCTTTAAAAGTAAAAAGATGACACATTTATATGCAACCAATTTAAATAGTTTAATATTAATTTTTTTAGTAAAAATAAAAAATTATAAATTTGAATCACAAATATACAAGTAAAAAAAAAATTTTTAACATTACCTTATAAAAAATAGAAAAATCTTAATTTTACCATGACTACATTGCATGTATCTATCTGTTCCCCAATTTCAAAATCAGGTTGGACTTAGCAGCATTTTGATGGTGAAGGGGAGTGAGTATGACAACATTAGACAAGTGCCTAAGCAGGAAAATCTCTACGGCACGCTTCTGTCTGAAAATGTGATCGGAGTCATCCACGACCATTACGTTACCTTCTACCTTGACATGACATAGACGGCTCTGAGAATTCCTTTGTCAAAGTTGCTATCAAGGAGCAGGAAACTTCTCCTGGGGAATCACCTAGAAGAAGCTACCTCAAAGCTGTTAGAAATGTGGCCAAGATTGAGAAAGATACACCGATTCAGCTCAAGCTCTACGATACCTCTGAGTTCCATGTCGTCAACCCTGCCAAAAAGACATTGGTCGGAAATCCTGTAGGGTACAAAGTGGTTCCGGCTGCCACTGCTAATTAATGGTTAGATTCTTCTATGTATCATTCCATACACTTCGAGAGACTTGTCGGTTAACTATGATGTCGGCCATAGAATATTTATTCCTGACAATGATCTTACCCTGCTGATCAAGCTCAGCATAACAGGAAAGTTTAAAACAAAAAATCAAAAAATCAAAAAATCAAAAAATATTACCATTAAATCAATTAATTTGTTGACATTGATTTGAGATTTTTTTTCCCCTAAATTCAATATGTTGATAGATGATAGATGGTGATGGTGGGCCAGTAAATAGCCGCCCCGATTATTATATTTTATTTTATTTGAACAGAAGTGAAAAATAGCTTCGTTTTTTATGGAATCAGTGGTTGGCGGTGGCAAAATCAGGTGAATGGATAACAAAGCGACAGCCAGCGTAGAGTCATTTGTTCTTTCAAGGGTGGGACACAATACCGGGGGGCGTAAACCCACAGCCCATGTTCCCGTCGGTTTTCCTGTGGACCATCCGGTTCCCTTGACGATTATTCAATTTTTTGGGGCCCCTAAAATTTAATGTTTGATATATTAACTATTAACTTGTTAACACTTTGGTCTAGAAATTTTATTTTTTTCTCAAAATTTATCTAGAAAGTAGAAACTTAAGTTTAAGAACTAAAATGGTCAACTTGCCAAAGTTGAGGGAAAAAAGGGACATTTAACCTAAATTTAGCCAATGTTTTCCATCTCTATCTAGAGAAGCGTGGATCACCACTATCGATTATTCTTTCTTAATTCAATATGCTGTATTATGATTCTTGTGAGACAAAATATCTGATTTGTTTCATCAACATATATATAATAACAAAGGGGAAAACAAGATTTCTCTATTTATTTATTTTCATTTTCTTTCATAATCTGCTTGCAGTAACGTAAAACGGAATAATGAAAACATAAAGAGAAAAACTGGCATCCATATATAGCAGTGTTCTAAAACTCACATAATTGATCATAGAGACTGAAAGACAAGCGAGGTTTGACCATGATCTCTAGCGGGGTGGCCTTGATGTTGGTCAATCCAGGACTCTCTGTCATATCAACGGAGGCATTCCCTGGAGTCGAGATATCAAACGCCTGCAGCAAACTGGCCAACACCAGTTGCGTCATTTGCAAGCCGAAGGTGACTCCAGGGCACAGCCTTCTACCGCCACCAAATGGGAGGAGCTCAAAGTGCTGACCCTTAACGTCAATGTCCTTGTGGGTGGTTAGAAACCTCTCTGGCCTGAATTCCAATGGGTCGGACCATACCCTTGGATCTCTCTGCATTTTCCAAAGGTTCACAATCAATCGCGTTCTTTTGGGCACATGGTAGCCTCCCACAACACAGTCTTCAGAGAATTCACGCGGTCCTGAGAGTGGTCCAGCTGGGTAGAGACGCAGTGCCTTCTTGACAACTGCTTGGAGGTACTCTAGTTTGTCCATGTCCGATTCCATCACCAATCTTTCCTTTCCAACATGCACGTCCAATTCTTCTTGGACCTTTTCTAGAGCAGGAAGATTGTTGATTAGTAGTAGTGCAAGTACCCACGTTACTGTAACTGTTGTTGTATCAGTAGCCCCTGTAAGCAGACCCTGCAACAAAATATTGATGTAACCCAAAATTTTTCACAAAAATTCATGGATAGGTGTAGTATACTTACGGTAACTGTTGCTTTGATGACAGTATTAACATCAAAACCAGAAAGATTGTTACCCCCAAGGACATGGAGCAAGACGTCTATGAAGTCTTGATCTCCTTTCTCTACCTTCTTTCTGTGGCGATGCTCCTCCAACCACTTCTCCACTATACCATCTAGCTCTTCGGCAATTCTCTTCATGGCCTTCTCTATATCCCCCCAAATCCAGCCACCCAAGAAAGGGAATGGCATCCCTCACTACAAACAACCCCGCCAGATGAAACCACTCCCTCATCGCCTTCCTGCATCGCCTTACCTCTTTCTCATCAGCAGCCTCTCTGGCACCGGAATACCTTATTCCAGCAACCATCCTGAGAAACACGTTCAAGTTCAAGTCCCCAAACCACTGCTTCATCTCCACCAAAACATGAGTTGCCTCGCTTCTTCTCTTGATCCAGAGTTTGTATAACTCCTTTATTGAGCCCTCTACTTCAGAGGCTCTAACATGCCTAAGAAGCTCAAGCCTGCGGTTTGACAGGAGCTCTAAGGCTGTAATTTTGCGAGTCTCACGCCAGTATGCACCATAAGGGGCAAAACCAAATTGGACATAGTTATAGCCCAGGTACTTACCGACAGCAAGCTTGGGACGGGAGGACGCAGTAGCATTATAGACGGTAAATATTTCCTTAGCCACCTCCCAACTGCTGACCACCAAAGTCGGGTGTATCCCAATTTGGATGTTGAATATCGGACCATACTTGTCAGCTAAGGCTCCCAATCTTATGTGGGGAAGTTCAGGTCCAGTTAATAGATGGAGATGACCGATTAAAGGCCAACTACCTGGAGCGTCCGGTAGTTTTTGGCCCTTGTAAGCTTTCCTGGACCTTCTTAGCAGGAAGCAAGAGAAGAGGCAAATTGCAAAGACTGCTGCAAATGTACCGTTCAGATTTGAGAACAGGAAGTTGAAATCCATTTGTTGGGATTAGGCCCAATGCCCACTTCGGGCCACATATAGCAGGCCCAACTATGCACACACAGGTTCAAGAGGAGGAGACATACTCACGTGAGCAGCACCACGTGGGCCAATGAGTCACTTACATGTATGGATGCATGTCAGCATCTGGGGTTATAAATACCCCCAACTACCAACAATGAGGGTAATTAATCTCTACGCTTCTGTCTCTGCAGTTACTCTTTGAGAACATCTCTCTCTAGAACTTCGAGTATTGCTGACTTAAGCGTTGGAGTGTTTTCTCCGAGGAAACAACCTCGGGATTTTCAGGTGTGGAAGCAGCTGAGGACTTCAACAATGTTGGACTGCGAAGCTGCCCAAACATTTGGCGTCGTTTGTGGGAACTGAACAAGAAGTTGTGCAGCTTAACCTGCTGAAAGACAAAATGGTTCGAACTTTTACAGGAGGTCGCCCCCCAAGAAATGAGATGGACGAACAGGAGGACGCTCAAGTATCTGAGCCCAGTTCGACTTTAGGCCAATGCCAAGAAACCTCTTCGTTGGGGGAGCCGAACAGGATCACCTAAGTGAAACAGATGATGAAAGAACACCAACTGGGTATGTAACCCAGCCTGAACAGTTCCAAGTTCCAACAGGAACAAGACAAAGACCTTCTAGACCACACAATTCACAGCATGAACGACCTGAAAGGTCAACAGAACCTGCTCGGACAACCAAGCTCGAAGAGAGAACCAAAGTTCTCGAAATGGCAATGGGTAAAATCCTTGCCCGTCTGATTCTTGATGACCCCCTGATTCCTTTGTTGAACAGGGATGCACAACCAGCTGCGGTTGTTGCAACTCGAAACTCCCCCGTTTTAAGCAACATAGTGGTGCCGATCAGGCCAAGGGGAAGTGGAAAACTAAATAACGAACCTAGCTCGTCCAAGCATAATGAAGAATTGATGAGAAAGAATGCAGACATGGAAAGGCAGTTAAGGGACGTACAAAGGTCTATTGACGAGTTGAAAAGTCCCAGGTCGCACCAACAGACTCTTGATTTGGATAGTGCCCCTTTGAACCTATCCATCACAGCAGAGCCGTATCAAGAGAGATTTAAGATTCCCCACCTGGAGACATATGATGGTTTGGGTGACCCTGATGAACATCTGCATACCTATCAAGCCATCATGAGAATACAAAATGCTAATGATGCCATGATGTGCAAAGTGTTTCCAGCGACACTGAAATCAACAGCTAGAAGATGGTATCACAAGCTCCCAAGGCATTCTATAGACTCATATTTTCAGCTCGCCAAGCTATTCTCCAACAAATTCGCGAGCCAGAGGGAGATCAAACGCACAGCGACCGAGTTGATGCAAGTTAATCAAAAGGAAGGGGAATCTTTAAGAGACTACATGCAGCGATTCAACAAAGCCACTCTGGACATTGACAATGTCCCAGACACCATCTGTTTGTCTGCATTGCTGCATGGCTTGAAGCGTGGTCGGTTTCTAGACGACCTGCTAGAGAACCCACCCAAGACTTGGAATGAAGTGAATGACAGGTCGGCTAGCTTCATATTGTCCGAAGATTTTCAATCTTCTAAGAGACGAGCTGATGACAAGCAAGGAAAAGAGCTCAAGCAGCCTGAAAACAAAGATGACAAGAAGAAACAGAAGGTTAGCGAGCAGAGAGGGAAATCGCCTTCCTTTCCAAAATATGACAGCTACATCCCCCTGAGCTCGTCACGATCCGAGATATTGTCGCAGATACAGCACTGGGTCAAGAGACCCCCTCCACAAACACACGACTCTTCACGAGCTGACAGAAGCAAATACTGCGATTATCATCGTGTCTACGGCCATAACACAGAAGACTGTCAGAGTCTAAAGGATGAGCTCGAATTCTTGGCTCGCAATGGGAAATTGGAGGGGTATATACAGAAGCTTTTTGTTCGGCAACCCAACCAGACCCACTTTGTACAAGAGTACAGCCGACCTCAAGCACCTAGATATCAGCTCGGTAACAATCCAAATTCTTACCAGGCAAGTTCGTACTCATCCGAGCCGAACAGAGTATATAGGGGACGCCCGTTCAATAAGCATGGGCAAGGACAGAAAGCACCTGCACAGAATCCAAAAGACCACAGAGGGGTTGGGTATGGAGGAATACCCCCTCCATCTGGCACAATCAATATGATCTTTGGTGGAATGCACTCAGGGGGCCAGAGCGCCCGGGCCCGCAAGGCATATGCCCGCCAGGTGATGACAGTCAACAAAAACATGCCCTTGAAGCGGCTGTTCGAGGAGGCGGAGTGGGAGAATGCAGCTATCACATTCAGCCCGGCAGATTATAAGCGAGCAGACGAAGAGCCTGACGTTATGATGCCTCACGCAGATCCATTTGTCGCAACGGTCCATATAGGTAATCATAACGTCAACAAGGTCTTTATTGACACGGGCAGCTCACCTGGTATCCTTTATTGGAGCTGCTTCCAAAAGATGCAGTTGAATCCGAGCTCGTTACAAAAATATGAAGGGCCCATTTATGGGTTCAATAATCAGCCCGTCCCGGTAGAAGGAGTTATCACCCTTCCCATCTATGTGGGCTTAGAACCACGGTTCAGGATGGCTTCCGTTACCTTCCTGGTCGTCAAGATGGAGTTCGCTTTCAATGTTATACTGGGAAGAGCCACCCTGTGCGAGCTGAAGGCTGTTATCTCACAACCCCATCTCTGCATGAAATTCCCAACGCCTCAGGGGGTAGGTGTGTTGAAGGGGAATCAGAAGATGGCAAGGGCATGTTACCAAGATACATTTAAGAAGGTTGAGCTCGCTGAAGCCCCGAGAGTCTCCTCTGAGAATAGAAGGCCGACTCAGCCCGGCCAACAAACAATGAGCATATCGGACATTGAGCATAAACCTGAGGGTGTCAAGTAGAAAGCAGAGCCGGTAGAGCCAGTAGAAACCATTCCTTTAAACCCTGATGTGCCGGAAAGAACAGTCAAGATTGGCACCAGGCTCACAAAAGAAGAGCGAGCAGAGCTCTTGGAGTTTTTAAGGGTCAATCAAGATGTGTTCGCGTGGACTACAGATGAAATGCCTAGCATCCCAGCAGAGTTGACAGTCCACAAACTCAGCACGGACCCCACCAAAAGGCCAGTGGTACAGAAGCGTCGCCTTTTTGGCCCTGAGAAGCAGGCTGCTATAGATGAAGAAATACAAAAGCTACTATAGGCAGGTTTCATCAGGAGAGTGGAATACTTTGAGTGGGTGTCTAACCCTGTGCTCGTCAAAAAACTGAATGGCAAGTGGAGGATGTGTATTGACTTCACCAACCTAAACGAGGCGTGTCCAAAAGACCCTCACCCCTTGCCAAATGTTGAAAAGCTAGTAGAGCGAGCAGCCGGGCATGAGTGGATGAGTTTCCTTGACGCTAGCTCAGGATATCACCAGGTTTAGTTACTACTAGATGACCAGCAGAAAACAGCTTTCTATGCTGGTGACGCGATCTACTGCTACGTCATGATGCCGTTTGGCTTGAAAAACGCTGGCACTACATATTAGAAGCTGGTGCAAATCATCTTCAAGCTGCAGATCGGCAGGAACATAGAAGTATATGTGGATGACATGATAGTCACCAGTGCACGAGCTGAGAATCATATAGACGACCTGAATGAGACCTTTCAAAACTTGCGCCGAGCCCAAATGAAGCTGAATCCCCTGAAGTGCACGTTCGTTGTAGAATCAGGAAAATTCCTAGGGTACGTTGTATCCAAGAAAGGAATTGAAGTGAACCTAGAGAAGGTCCTGGCCGTTCAACAGATGGAGCCTCCCAAGACTGTAAAGGACATGCAGCGCCTGACAGGTCGAGTAGCCGCGTTGCACAGATTCATAGCCAGGTCGGCGGAAAGATGCCTGCCGTTTTTCAAAGCCTTGCGAGAGCCCAATCACTTTCAATGGACCGAAGAGTGTCAGCGGGCATTTGACGAGCTTAAGCAGTATCTGGCATCTGCACCCCTGCTGTCCAAGCCGGTGGAAGGGGAGAGTTTATACTTATACATGGGGGTTACAGGAGCGGCAGTGAGCTCGGTCCTGCTTAGGGAAGAGAATAAAAATTAGAAGCCTATCTACTACGTAAGCAAGGTTTTACAAGGTGCAGAGCAAAACTACCCGATAGCAGAAAAGGCTGCCTTTGCCTTAGTTTACACAGCTCATAAGTTGAGGGCTTACTTCCAATCACATCAGATTGTTGTCTATACCGACTTGCCATTGAGGGAAATACTGCAGAAACCTGAACTCTCTAGTCGGCTTATTGGGTGGAGCGTTGAGCTGAGTGAATATGACATCAAATTTCAGCCGCGCACGACCATAAAAGGCCAGGCCGTTGCAGACTTCCTGGTGGAGTGCATCTCAACAGCTAATGAAGAAAAAGCACCCGAACACCCAGCTTGGGTTTTGTATGTTGATGGAGCAGCTAACATTGAAGGGTCGGGTGCTGGGGCTGTGTTAGTGGGCCCAGATGGCTTTAGGTCTGAGCACGCGCTGAGGTTTAAGTTTCAGATGACTAATAACGCTACAGAATATGAAGCCCTCATTTACGGACTGAAGCTGGCGTCCGAGCTGAAGGTACAAAGCATTCAGGTTTTCAGCGACTCTCAGCTCGTTGTGGGCCAGGTGAATGGCAGTTGTGAAATCAGGGATCCCCAGCTCGGTCATTATGCCTCTGTGGTCAACAGATTGAAGTCAATATTTGTTCTTTTCCAAATTGATAAAATACCAAGAGTAGATAACCACCGAGCTAACGAGCTGTCAAAGTTGGCCTTCTCGTAGGACCTTAACCCTCAAAGATCGACAATTGTCGAGATACTAGACACACCGAGCTACACTGATTCCACAGTTGAGTGTCAGCTGCTAAGCACAGATCCCTCTGCACCGAGCTGGGCCACCCCGCTCATAAATTATCTGCAAAGTGGTGAGCTACCTGAAGATCCGTCTGCTGCCAAGTTGATTAAATGCAGGGCGGCCCATTTTACTTTGATAGATAATCAGCTCTACAAGCGGGCAGCCTCCATGCCCCTATTACGCTGTCTCGCTCCTTACGAAGTTGAATACGCTGTGAGAGAAATCCATGAAGGAGTATGTGGCACGCACATTGGAGGCAAAACCTTAGCTTGTAAGCTCCTGAGGCATGGTTATTACTGGCCGACTATGGTTGAGGATGCGCAGAACTATATCAAAAAATGCCCGACCTGCCAGTTCAATGCTGATGACATTCACATGCCAGGTATCTGAGTTAGTTCTAAAGACCATGCAAACTTCCTGTTTGTCTATAAACTGAGCATAAGTATCTTCCTTGAAACAGGGGAAATGCTATCATCTCTTACGTCTCCCTGGCCCTTTGCTCAATGGGGTGTCAACCTGCTCGGCCCTTTCATCAAAGGCAACGGAGGCTGCACTTTCCTGGTTGTTGCAGTGGATTACTTCACTAAATGGATAGAAGCTAAACCATTGTCCTCGACAACGGAAAGGAAAATAGAAGAATTCTTGTTCAATTCAATATTGTGCAGGTATTCTTTGGTGGCTCAGGTCATAAATAAAATATATGCAAACGTAGTTCCTAGCTCAGCTCGGTCATCTGTGTGCAAGTTCGGCATACCTAAGCGGATTATCACCGATAATGGGCCACAGTTCTGAGCAGCAGCACTGAGATCGTTCTGCAACGACTATGTCATTGAGCTCTCCTTGACGTCTGTGTATACCCCCCAGTCAAATGGACAGGCCGAGTCTGCCAATAAGATCGTCCTGCAAGGCCTTAAGACGCGTGTTATAACTACGCGTTCTAATTGGGTTGACGAGCTCAATAAAGTACTTTTGTCATGTCGCACGACACCCAGCTCGGCCACAGGCGAAACCTCGTTCAGCCTGGCATATGGAGCTGAGGTCGTCATCCCTGTCGAAGTCGGGTTGCCATCTGCTAGATCAGATTGTCATGACGATCATAATAATGGGCAACTCTTAAGAGAGAACCTGGACCTAGTGGAGGAAGTCAGGGAATTGGCTCGAATTAGAAACATGGCGCATCAAAGTCGTGTTGCAAAATTTTACAATAAAAGAGTTCGAGCTCGCCAGTTTCAAGTCGGCGATCTAGTTCTCCGCAAAGCTGGATTGACGAATGCTTACTCGCACATGGGCAAGTTCGCTCCTAATTAGGAAGGACCTTATATGGTTCTTTCTATTCAATGACCTGGGTCTTACCGGTTAGCAGATCTACAAGGTCGTCCATTACCATTCATTTGGAACATACATAACCTTAGAAAGTTTTACAGTTAGGAGTTAGCTTTACAGTTAACATGTATGTTACTAGTGTTCAGGTCGTTGTGGATCATTTGTAAATGGTAATTTACAGAAAACTCAATACAGAAATTTCCAAGGAACAGTTACGAATTTGCACTTGATCAATGAATTCTCACATAAGGAGTACATATTTCAAATGACTTCATTGATTTACACAAAAATACAAGAGCAATACATAGCAATCTCAAAAGTAAAGGTTGGAGTTGTATTTCATGAATGTTCTTGTACATGTGTTCAATTAACACAAACAGACAAAAAGACAAAAAGAAATACAAAAAGCAAAGCAAAAGCTCCTAAACTAATCATCCGTCAGGTCGACGGGGATGGATGCGTCGTTTAGTGCAGCAGCAGATCGAGCTGGAGACGACCGATCTAGGGAAGAGTGAGCAGGAGAGAAAATAGCTGGAGCTGCGGCTGTGACGGGCTGAGGTGGAGTAGAGGGGGGAGTGCTGGAAGGCTCAGCAGGCACGTCATGGGGGTCTGCCACCCAAGCATCGAAGCTCGGCAACCCTTCCGTGTCTTCCCCCTCCTCAACGACAGAAGGGGGCCACACAGGCAGCCCCTCCTCGTTGAGGTCCCACCTCAGCTTCACCTTGGTGTCTGCTGGCTGGGCGAGACTCTTTCCGTCAGCATCGATCTCCTCGCCCTCGAAGACGGCCAATTCGCCAATAGGGAAGTTTGCCCATACTCCCAACACCTTCCCACGAACTTCATTGAAAATGTCCGTGGTGGTGTTGGCTGCAGCCACTGCCACGACGTCCTAGAACATCTCTGCCCCCACCAGCCACTCAACCCCTTGCGCACGGGCAAAGCAGAGGTCGTGCTGATGGAGCCTTTTGCATTTTTCCAAGGATGCCTCAGCTCGGGCGACGTGCTGGTCAACTTGTGAGACCCTCTCTGCCATGGCGTTCAGGTCGTGCAGAGTCTTTTCCCTATCAGCTTCTGCCCTCTTGGCACGGTCCTCTGCACGACCGGCCTCCTCCTTCGCAGCCTGGATGCCACTCTCCTTCTCCACTCAGGCCTTCACGAGCTCATCCTTCAGCTCGTTAACCTTACGGGCCAGCTTGTCAGCTCAGCTTTCAGCTGACGCCGCTCGGTCTGCGATTTCCGAGCTCTGTAGACGACTGACCTCGTCAGCCAAACTGGCTTTTTCAGTGGCCAGTTGTTTGCAGCTTGTCTGGAGCTCGTTGTTTCGCACTCGGGCTCCCTGCTCGCACTCGAACAGCGCGACAGTGTAGCTGAACGCCTACAACACGTGTTCACGCGTCAGTTTATAGCAAAAACATGATAAAATACAGTAATGAGCTCGACAAGTGTACTTACATCCATAAGCTTGATCAGCGCAGCATGTCCCCCATGCTGCTGAATGTGCCCCTTCGCACACAGCCGGACTGCGGGGGGCACAAAGTTTTGCGTACCCTGTAGCATGGCAGCATGGCATTCAGTTCATACGTAACTGAAGCCATCCGGGTATGCAATCCTGGGCCCCTCCACAGACAACGAGGCTGGCGCTTACTCGGCGACCTCACGAGTGGGAGCTGGGGGCACGTTGCCAGGTCATGCAGCAACGGCCGGAGCTAGCTGCGAGCCGGTACTTGTCCTCCGTCGGGTAAGAGGAACGTTGTCCTCTGTGTCGGAGTCCTCCCGTAAGCGCCTTCTTGCGCTTGAGGGCCCTGGTTCTGCTCGTTGCTCGACACGCGGCCTCTGTGCCGAGCTGGAACCCCGGTGCTGGGAGCTGCGCCCCGGTGCAGCTAGTGGCCGCTCGTCAAAGCATGACTGGCGTTGGGAACCGGACCCAGCTCCTCGGTTCCTAGAGCCTTGTGCTCTTTGACGTTGCCTCTCAAGAATGCTGCTCATTTCTCCTACAAAAACAAAGGCATAAGACTCAGATTGACTAGAAATTGTACTATACTATAAAGTTATACCTTGAGAGTGTAGGTTTTCCACGTCGACAAACCCACGAAGTGCGATCTTTTCCGGGGTAACCAAGGCTTCAAGATCCACCAGCCCCCTCGCCTTCATGTAGTTGAGCAGCCAGTTCTTCAGGTCGACATCACCAACTGTCAGTTGAGGATAGTTCATGTATGTGTTCGGCGTACGCCACTTTGACAGTCGAGTGGTGAGCTCATTATTCATCCTCACAGTTCGTGTATCACGGATAAAAACGAACTGTCTCTTCCACCTCGCCACCTTATTCCAGATGTTGGTGAAGATCATCATCTTCTCTCTCCCAGAGATGTAGTACCATCTCGTACCGCTGGTGGAGGGGCACAGCCGGCATAGGAAGAGCGACATGAAGACCACTGCCTTTGCGGGCATCCCCAACCTTTCACACAACAGCATAAAGCCTATAATAAACTTTATGCTGTTGGGTGTAAGCTGGGTAAGGGCCAGCTCGTACTCTGCCAGGACGTCAAAAATTAGTCCGGGCAGAGGAAAACGTAGACCGGCGTCAAAATGGTCTACGTATACTGGCACCCAGCCCGTTCGTGATATGGAGCACGCCCGTTCGTTCGGTGTTCCAGCTCGGATCAAAACCGTCTTTGGGATCTGGAACCGCCTCACCATCTCCTCCAGTTTCTTATACCCTTTCACTGTGGCCGCACCATCTACAACCTCGTGATGCAGCACCGCCCTGAACTTGAAGCCAGCCGATAGGGTTTTGGGGGCCTTGCAAAGGCTGTCCAGCCTTCCGCTCAGAGCCTTGTTTTCCCACCCTTCGAACACTACCACCTTGGCCGCTGCACTCGTCACCGGTGCACTGCAGCCAACCTCCTCAACACCCTCCGCTCCCCAGGTGTCTCTTCCGTGGGTGAATCACTGGAGGTTGACGACCGGTGGCTCTCAGAACCACCACACACGCTTGAACTAGCGCTACTTTCCGGCGCGGCGGTTCTGGGCGAATCCTGCAACTCCGGCGGCACTATCATCGCGATAAGCTCCACGGATATCACGTCAACATCTTCCTCTTCACCTTGGTTACCCCGGAATCCTTGTGCATCGTGGAAAGAAGCCATTTTTACCTGAGTAGTTGAAGGTTAACGTGCTTTTGCTGGAAGTCTGGAAAAATGGCCGTGAATGCCTCTGCAATCTTCTCTGAAAAACGTACGAATGTGCTTTGCAATGAAATGAAAAGAAATGACAAACTGTTTTGTTATGGCCGTTCAGATGGTGCTCCGTAAACACCGTACACGTGTTTACGACCCCTCAGTTAAGCGTGTCCATGTGGCAACCATTTATGGTTAAAAACCCAAAACACGCCGTTTGCAGCTGTCACGTCCCCTCAAAGGCTGCGCCAGCATTTATTGCGGGGAGGCAAAAGGGTATCTGTTAAAAGCAGAAGAATACCAAACGCCCTGAGCAAATCTCCTTAGAGATTCGCCACAATCGTTGAAAAATCTGAAGGATCAGATCGCGACAAACTTCAATGATCAGCTCGTAACAAATTCGCGACTTAGGCAAATCTCCTCAGAGATTCGCCATAGTTCAAATTTTGAAAAGTCCAAGGGATCAGCTCGTAACAAATCCGCGATCTCTTCACAGATCTGCCAAAATTCAAAACTTGAAAATCTCGAGAAATCAGCTCGTTACTAATCAGAGATCTCTTCAGAGATCCTGAATTCAAAAAACCTCTGAAGGTCAGGTCGCACAAATTATGGATTCAGCTCGGTTTCGGGCATTGAGCGTTAGATCATAACCAACTTCCTCAGAGCTGCTCTGTATCTCGGAGATCTATATTGAAGTGACGAGTGTGGTCGCTACTCTCTGCCCGTCTAGGGTCAGTGCGTTCAGCTCGTTCACTATCTGCTCACCTCCGCTCTGCCACAATTCATTATGCACGATCACCCTTGCGCGCCTACCCGACCCTATGATTAGCGTCGAGCTCGACTAGCTTTCACATCAACTCCTTACGCCTGCTCGGCAGAAAACCGGCATACACTTGCACATTCGGCCAGGCACGACGCCTTTAAGCCGCTCAGGTCGGCCGTGTGTGAAGTCGTTCATAAACATAAAGCGTCACTCCTCGTCCTCGAGGCCGAACACTGTGCTTACAAGGCTCTCCATCCAGTTCGTCAACCGAACACTGAGGGGGGAGTAATGTTGGGATTAGGCCCAACGCCCACTTCGGGCCACATATAGCAGGCCCAACTATGCACACACAGGCCCAAGAGGAGGAGACATACTCACGTGAGCAGCACCACGTGGGCCAATGAGTCACTTACATGTATGGATGCATGTCAGCATTTGGGACTATAAATACCCCCCAACTACCAACAATGAGGGTAATTAATCTCTACGCTTCTCTCTCTGCAATTACTCTTTGAGAGAATCTTTCTCTAGAACTCCGAGTATTGTTGACTTGAGCGTTGGAGTGTTTTCCCCGAGGAAACAACCTCGGGATTTTCAGGTGTGGAAGCAGCTGAGGACTTCAACAGTGTTGGACTGCGAAGCTGCCCAAACACCATTGCATGACAGTTCTCTCCAGTCTCCACTATTATCTACAAGGTTTTGGATCTTTTGATGGAAACAAATTAAACATAACAGAGTAATCAATCTACTTTTTAGTCTCAATTTTTAGTGTAGTTAAGGACCGAGGAATTCATCGTTCAGTAG